ATTTTCATTTCCATTATGAGTTTATCATTTTGACTCCTTTGGTCAGAGGTTTTCTGAAAAGGCTGTCACGTCTCTCCCAAGGGGACGTGGTGTCACACCCCAGAGTGTTGAACCCTCCTCTGATATATCCCTCTCCTCCACAGGGTGACATTGCTGAAGACTCACAAAGGACATTATGATAAAGTCCTGTGCCCGATCCACAGTGGAGAGGAATATTTCACCGAGCTGAGTGCAGGTGAGTCGCACACCCCGTTTCCTGTAACCTTGAACGCAGCTACTGATGAACTCTTGAGCTTCCACAGGACTTTATTCAGTCATATTCCGTGCTATCTACCGTTGGCATAGATACAGTGAGGAAATGGGACTCATGTGGTGGAAGTTCCTGCAAGTATAGATTTTTTTTGTGGATTATAAAAGCAACTCACATCGCAAAAACAAATTCAACTGCAAATTAAAAGGTTTGTACTTGGCTGTCACTTTATTTCCTTTTATTTTGCCTGCGGGCAGCCTGCAAACTGAATTATCTACTTGTTTTAAATCCTAGTAACGTCTTTCTTTCATGCAGTCTTCGATCATACGTTTAGAGGACCACTGTTGAAAGAAAGTTTCATTTGGTAAATATTAACTTGTACACATTTGTTCAAACAGTTTTAGCTCAGATCAAAGTTTGGAACACATTTGAACCCATTTGTGTGAGTAGGACTTCAACTGATTATTTAGTCATTATTTTACTTTTAAAAACTTTATTACTAAGTGATGAGAAAAGGGAAATTAAAAGATAATAAAAAAGGTGAGTCTTTATGACTTATTTAGACACGACAGCTCATAAATCATCTAACCTGTAACAGGCTTGCTGGAACCACTCATTTTGGTTCCCTATAATACATGTTTTATGTGTTGCTGAAATAAAAATGCCTCTCAACTATGATATTAAGAGCTCAGTGAGAAATCTGAAAACAACAACACAAATAAAATGATATTTAATTAATGCAACAGCAGATTCTACTTTTGTTTTAATCAAAATGGAAATGTCATTTCTCAGCTGGCATAATCAGTCTCTCTTGTAACTTAGACACTAACACAAGGTCTATAATTAAAATGCCTACTGTTATCATTCAAACACTCTGGGTTTTTACACCTTAGCCAATCAAATTTAAGCACTTTGACAGAATTTTTTTAACTTTTCCAGTACCGTATATCATTTACATCAATAAATCATCAATGAATCTGAGATGAGTTGAAACTCTTGGTTCATTTAAATCAGGATTAATATACACTGCTCAAAAAATATTCAACAGGTGGAGATTACAGGTGATTAGCGAGGCATCCCCAATAAAAGAGTGGTTTCTGCAGGTTGTGACCACAAACCACTGATGACTGATGTATTGGTCAGTTGCTGGTGACGCTTTCACTCTAGCATGAGGAGTCCACAACCCATACAAGTGGCTCAGGCAGTGCAGCTCATCCAGGATGGCACATCAATGCGAGCTGTGGCAAGAAGGTTTCATGTGTCTGTCAGTATAGTGTCCAGAGTATGGAGGTGTTGCCTGGAGACAGGCCAGTACATCAAGAGACATGGAGGAGGCCGTAGGAGGGCAACAACCCAGGAACGCTATCTCCACATTCGTGCAAGGAAGAAAAGGAGGAGCACTGGCACAGCTCTGCAAAATGACCTCCAGCAGGCCACAAATGTGTATGTGTCTGCTCAAATAGTCAGAAACAGACTCCGAGAGGCTGGTATGAGGGCCCGATCTCCACAGGTTGTGCTTACAGGCCAACACCGCACAGGACATTTGGCATTTGCCAAAGAACACCAAGACTGGCAAATTTGTTACTGGTGCCCTGTGCTCTTCACAGATGAAAGCAGGTTCACACTGAGCACGTGACAGACGTGACTGAGTCTGGAGACGCTGTGGAGAACTTTCTGCTGTCTGCAACATCCACCAGCATGACAGGTTTGGCAGTGGGTCAGTAATGGTGTGGGGTGGCATTTCTTTTTGGGGGCCGCACTGCCCTCCATGAGCTCCCACATGTAGCGTGACTGCTATTAGGTACTCCTCAGACCCCTTGTGAGACCATTTGCTGGTTCGGTTGGCCCTGGGTTCCTCCTAAGTCAAGACTATGCTAGACCTCATGTGGCTGGTGTGTGTCAGCAGTTCCTGGCCCGGCCACTAGCAATAGCTCTTCCAGTGCAGGCAGACACTTCCTGTAGGAATTTTATAACATTTCTGCTGGAATATGTGAAACTAACATTGGTGTAAATCTGTATAAATTATTATTCTGAACATAAGGTAGTCACAATCCACTTTGGTCTTGGCCCCACTCACCCTAGCTGTTAGCTCCTCAATCTGGTAAGAGTAAATCTCATCATCTCCAAACTGAAATCATTCAAAGGGCTGACAACTTTTCACACAATCTAACTTGTCTTTGTAACTCTTTAGGAATTGTGTAAATCAAGTATTTAGTGGTGATGATGATGCTGATAAACCACCACTCATCTGAAGCTCTAATCTTTGTAGGTTACACTCTACTTTACTTTACTCTCTAAAACTCACCAGAAATGTAATATGTCCTATAAAAGTCATGTTTTCTCAGGAAAAATGTGGGGAAAAGTACAATTAATGGAATAAACCCACTCTTCACTTGTATTCTCTATTCCGTTTTTGCATGGACTATGACCAATGACACGCTAGCGTTCTGGGACCCTCACAAAGGCTCACACCTTGGGAACCAGAATACCCTATAAACATCATATGGATTTATGTTCTTTAATCTTTTATCTAGTAAGCTGCACTATACGTTTACAATTTTATGCCATTTTACCATAGTTACACACCTCTCTCAACAAGAAAACCCCATCTATTAAATAATGAAATGCAGAGTTTTGTGCCTGTCAGTAAATGATAACATTTATTTTTGCAGCACTGTTATTTTTGAACTCACACTCAGGTCTTATCAAGAAAAACTAATCACATGAAGGTATTTTCCTAATATTCATTACACAGTGAAATGTGTGGCTTGAGGATCAGCACCTCCAAGTCTGAGACCATGGTTTTCGAATGGAAAAGGGCAGCTTGCCAACTCCAGGTCAGGGGAGAGGTCCTGGCTCAAGTGGAGGAGTTCAAGTATCTCGGGGTCTTGTTCAGGAGTCCGGGAAGAAGGGAGCGGGAGATCGGCAGGCGGATTGGGGCAGCATCTGCAGTGATGCGGACGCTGAACAGGTCTGTTGTGAAGAAGGAGCTGAGCCTTAAAGCCAGACTCTCAACTTACCAGTCGATCTACCGCCCAGTCATCTATGGTCATCATGAGTTTTGGGTAATGACCGAAAGAACAAGATCGTGGATACAAGCGGCCGAAATGACTCTTCTCCGTGGGGTGGCTGGGCTCAGCTTTAGGGATAGGGTGAGGAGCTCGGACATTCGGGAGAGACTCGAGTGGAGCCGCTGCTCCTCCATATCGAGAGGAGTCAGTAGAGGTGGTTTGGGCATCTTGTAAGGATGCCTCCTGGATGCCTCCCCAGGGAGGTGTTTCAGGTATGTCCTGCTGGCAGGAGGCCCCCTGGTCAACCCAGGACACGATGGAGAAAGTACATCTCTAAACTGGCTCAAGAACACCTTGAGATCCTGCCGGAGGAGCTGGTGGAGAAGGCCGGGGAGAGGACAGTCTGGAACTCCCTAGTTGGGATGCTGCCCCCGCAACCCGGACCCGGATAGGTGGAAGAAGACAAGTCGAGAATGTGCGGCTTGAATTTATTAGAGCGTTTTTTTTGCAAATCTCTTTTTTAATTGTTATTTTTGACCACTCAGGTCCAGGGTTTGTGTTTTTAAGCAACAGTCGAAACATAGATTTGAAACTGGTTATCAATAATTACCCAACTCTTATCGTTCACTTTGAAGAGTCGTTAAAATATTAGATTTGTTCTTGAGCATCACAATATATAATGAATTTTAGAATTTCCTATGCATGTTTTCCGGGGTATTTTTTTGTTTGATTGATTGTTTTTTTGCATACAAAGTTGATTTAGCCAGTGAAAGTAGCAGAAAACACAAAAGCAAGGAACTTGTACAGCATTAGTATTAGTGCATAATGAGCTGAGGTCAAGGAAGTAATTTAAAATCTAAATCAGGCGACGTTCCCCGTAGATAGCCTCCCACCATGTCAATGGGTGCATCCACTCATGTGAAGTCAATATATCAATTATCTATGTGCTGGAATACACATGCTGCTGTGTTTCAGTACAGATTGTGTTTAGTGCTTGAAAACTTGGCCTGATGCTCAATCAGAAACTACAAAGTCTCAGACTACGCAAACACACATCAGAACTCAGCTGTTTCGTGTGGTTTTTTTTACCACCAACTTTGTTCAAAGGATGAAAGACGAGTGAAAAATAATCAAGAATAACAGAAAATGAATCAGCAGAAATAAAGATGAATCCCAGCTAGACCTGGTTAATGTTTGCAGTCGACACAGAAGCTCGCTGATTTAAAAGTGCTGACGTCAGAGCATGTGATGGCCTACAGATCTGAGGACACACAACCCTAGATTCTTTTTTCATGCTGGGTGACTTACTTATCAGTTTTTTTCCACTGATAAATAAGTGAATGTCGGCTGAAATCTTGCATAAAGTCAAACATGAAAGATAAGTTTAAATCAGCGGTTCCCCGTTGAAGTTTACACACCACAAATCAAAAAGCTTGTCTTCGTAACCCCCTTTTAGAGATGTTTATGAATCATTTCTGGTGATTGTTTTTTTTTTCCTTTTGAATAAAAAAACTCCTAAACTAATCAGACCAGAGAGAAATCATCTGCATTAAATGAGGCATATCTCAGCTGTATTGTATTCTATTAAACCAACATTACTCAATGTAAATACATTTGAATGGTTTAGAAGTGCACCATTAACACACGTTCTTAGATAAGATCTTTGTTCAGGGGAAACATCCTGATAACGGTAATTAGTTTCCAGTTTGCAAAAACCAAGCTTGATTTGATCAACTCACCGCCTGCATACATAACAGCTAGCATGATGGAGGAGAGCCACGCTATTTCACTGTAGCTGGCCTTTAAGTCCTCTTGAATCTCCTTGAAGAAAATGGAAAGAGCTTTGGGAGTTGAGTAAGCAAATCCGATAGAGATATGGGCCCCAAACACCACCATCCAGCCCCAACCCCCATCCAGGGGTTTGTTGCCCAGCACATCTGTAGGTGTGGGAGGCATCTTCCTGTTTAAAGAAGGAAACGTTCATGAGGTGTTTTCAAAATAGCTCTGCTTGCTTGCCAGAATTTACTCAAATATGTGTTTCAGAAGTGAAAGTACAGAAAACAGCTGTTAAACTGAGGTTTTATTGTGTTGATAAAATACGTGCACATAAGCCACCCCATTGGAATCTAATATGGAATGCAAAACAATACAATAATATAAGTAATATATAATAAAAATAGTCAGATTTTTGTTTCACACATACTTAAATGTCAAAACATGCAGTGTACAGCTAAGTCAGGAGGTGCCCAGACTTTTGAAGACAACATAAAAATTGCCAAGTTAATAGCCCTTTTGAAAATGTTTTTTTTTTTCTAATCTAAAAAAATGTTAAAATTATTTAAGGGCTATTTTTCAACTATTCTCCCAAAACAGGTCAAATCAACAGCTAGAAACGCATCTGAGTGTCACTCAGAATTGTATTAAAGGTCAAAAATGGTGCCCAGGCTGCACAAGTGAACAAGTAAAAAAACAAGTAAAACAAGTAGTATAAATTTTTTTATGAATAAAACACCAAAACATGATGACTGGGCTTGTCATTATATCTGAAGGCACTGTTCATAAAATGACAATAGCTTTTGGATGGAAACTATTTTATTCACTTGGGTTTTTGTTATAAATTTTTATTTTAATATATATAAAACTCTTCTTTAAAGTTTATATCGATTAATCTCCATCCATTTTATTTACCCGCTTATCCTCGAAGAGTCGCGAGGGTATCGATTAATCTTTCAGAAAAATTGTTTGGGTTTGGTTTGAGCTTGGACCCTTAGGATGATAATCATTGCACGGAAAGGTCAAAACTTTAAAAATTGAGCGCTGTGTTCACATGTTTTGCAAAAAGGTTCTGTATAGATATTCTGAACAATTAGTATCTTACCTGCTGTAGATAATCCATAATATTTTCAGAGATTAGTTCTGGTCTAACAAATTAGTTAACAATTAGTCACGTTTCTTAAACTTTAATTTTGACATTTTCATTGCAGTTTATGTGAAATGCTATTTTATAACAGTTAAAGTGACATGTTTTTCACCAGTTATTCTGACAGAATGATCAAAGTGACATCTGGAAACGCATCAGAATCACAGCTAATGTCTTCAGTGTAAAACTACATGATTCAGAATTGAATGTGACATGCACAGTATGGGTTAAAATGTAAAATTTAACATCTGCAAAAAACTGATATGAAATTATTATTAGAGCTGTTTAAAAAAGCAGTAACGCTTTTTAAGAGTCAACTCTGACAAGCCCCCAATAACTAATCTGTTTCTTTAAACAAAGGTTGCTAATAGAGGGTAAAATGTTATTTGTTTTAAATGTTTCTGTTCTGTAGACACACTTTTTAATGGCTCTGATTTGAACATTTAGCGTCTAGTTTGTTATGTAATGTATGGATTGACAGTAAACCAGTTTTTACTGTCTTATGAAGGAAAAACATTTACAATAATTAAACTATTCACATATTTATTGGTTCAACTGGTTTCATTTTAAGACTTTGTGATGAAATGACTACCGTGTTAATGTGGAGTTTAAGTCACATAATGCATATAACTGGGGTGTAGAGGGCCAACGTCTTCAAGTAAATAGTACTTGTGAACCTTAAAAATTATCATTAAAATTTTAATAATAAATAAATTACTTTATGGTGAACTATTCTCATCTATACTCCTTAAAGTATGTCCAAAATAAGCTATTAGTAAAAACATGAACATAAAAATGCTATTAACCCCCAATCTAGTTCAAAATCCGACTATAGCGAAAAAATCATTCTGGAAATGTAAGTTGGGGTCCGCATAAAAAATCTCCGATGACCGCAACTGGCCCCCGAGCCGCACATTGTACATTTCTGGTATGTACACTACGTTACAGTGCGCGTATTGCAAAAGCTATACGTTATCAAAACGTGACTTTTAAATGAGCTATATTAACTTTTACCTTCTAATCCCACCATAAACGCAAAAAGCATCAGTAGCTGCGTGATGTTTACAAGTTAAATCAGCAAACGGAGGTTTAGTTCCCGTTTTATGCTAACACGCGTACAAGGGGAACAAAAGGTACCCCACTGTAAAAAAAAAAAAAATTTACACACTCCAGATCTACTAGTAATGTCTTAAAGTCGATCACTCCCGAGTCAGACCAGAGACTGAGAAAACGTGGAAAATTATCCGAAGTTTTTCCATAAAAAGTCATGCTGCTCTTACCTTCTCACCGAGAGCCTTTAGTTTGTCTGGTTGTTCGAAAGTTGGAAAGCAAGAGTTCCTGCAACCAGCTTCTTTCCACTCACCGCCTAGTCACATGTCACGCAGTGAACTGAAGGTTTGTTCTCCCGTCTTCATCACTTGTGAACTCTTGTCTCATATTTGAGCCTAAAGGTCACACTGCTGTGCTGCATCACCCACCAATCAATACTCACATGTGAGCTGTTCAAATGCAAAAAAAAAAAAAAAAAAAAAAAAAAGGGGGGCCAACCAACTCCAATCTCATGTTTTTATTTTCAATTATGTGCAATGTGAAGTTCACAGTTGAGCTCAACAACCACTATAACCTGAAAACCCTCAAAAGAAAAGAAAGAAAATACAAAACCACTAAAGTAAAAGTGAAGGGGGAAAACGATACAATGGAATAGCACCTATGCATGTAAAAGATCAGGAAATGATCAAAAACAAAAGATGTGTTTTAGCTTGATGCACAACATGACTGGTGTTTAAAGCATATTGTTATCTGGAGTTACGCGAGGTGTTAAAAACTAATGCACTACTGGAAATAAAATCTAAATGATCACTCGTGCAGGTAATCTTTTCCTCCCATCAGAGCAGGATTACTCTACCATAATTAGATAATCACACAAAGAAACTAAAATAAAAACAGCCACTGGAGACAAAGGGAAATCACATCTAATTTTTTTTCAAGTTATAAAACAAACTGAATATAAGTTTAGAAACCTGTGCAATTACAGCAAACCTATAATACAGTATTTTACATGTAACAAAAATCTTAAATACAGTACTGTGTGTATCAGTAGAAATCCTGAGTTCTCCGTTCCTGTAGCCATGTTGGTGAAGTTCTCACACTCCAGATGGGTGTTTTATTTCTGTTTTAGGGGTATTGCTCAACACATGTTGATTGGAATCAGCATCTAGTTTTTCAACAGTGGATCTTCTCTTGGAGAAGTAAATTTAATCCTCAAGTCTTTCCATGTAAACCTGTCAGATGAAACCCTGTGATGGGAAAAAGAGAGGGCGCTCTCCGTTTGTTTGGACAAACAGGAAATGTGCAGCGCAACACGGGCACCTGCATGAACTGGTACCACTGAGAACATCACTATGACAGGAGGGAGGTACCACTCAGTGGCGGTTTTTACACAAGATTGTCAAAAAAAAAAAAAGCAGCACCAACAGTTCTGTGTCCATGTGATGGCATAAAAAGACAAAATCCATGGCTGTTAGATGAAATAGCACAAAGTGAAACCCTCATGCAGGTCTAGTCGGAGAGGGTGCTTCGTAAAGTTTGCAGTTAACGACTTCTGAAGTGGATAGAGATTCAGTGCAATGCTGAGTTGACGTTTCAGGAATTAATCAAGTGATGCAGTTTTTAACTGAACCCCCCACCATACACTGTCCTTATTAGCCACAGGCACATTGGCATGACTCACACACACACACACACACACACACACACAAATATTATGCACTGAATTACACATCATGTCAAGCCTGCACCCATGCAACAACCCAGCAATCATTACTGGTACTATCATCTTCTCTCCACTAGCAGAGACGAGCAAACAAAAAAACATTAATGCACTTATACTAAAGTATACCAATATAGCCTAATCACAGTTCCTTGATTTATTGCTACCACATTAGTTTCAACGTCCACAACTAAAACAAATTTTTTGGCATTTTATCAAATACAACTTTTCAATCGACCAGTCTGATGCCAAAAGTCTCAACCTCACATCTCAACACTGAAAGGATCTTTTCACACAGCTGCTTCATCAACACAATGGTCTTAAATGTCCCTTTGCTCCAAGTCTAAAACATCGGAAGTTTTTGAGGTAAACCTGTTAGTTGGTCTGAACTTGTCACTTAGCGTTAGCACAAATTTGACTGTTTCATTATTTCTCCAATGTGGAGAGTGAATATTTATAAGATTTCAGTTAAATTATCTTTTGCATATGACACGAAATGGATGCTGACTCGAGAACGGTGAGGTGCGGGAGCCCCATTCAACTAGAAACCCCGAACTTAAATAGCTATGTCACACTTAGTGTGTGTGTGGTTTAACAACACATTTGAGGAAGAAGGGGAGGGGAAAAAATATCACTCATGCTTTCATCCTTTAAAACACTATGTTATTACGAAGCACGCATCGTTTTAAAACTACTAAATAAACTGAAGGGAAGCACAAACATAGAAGAAAAAAATAAAATGCAAACCTTAGAGCTAGCAACCTACTAATAAGCTATGTTACTCACCTTACCCGTATGAATATATAGTTTATATAGTTATTTATATAAAGAGAATCTTACTCTATGGTGACACATATCATCCAGGTTTCTAGGGAGAGTCTGAAGTCAGCAGACACCCTACTTCTCATGCCTGATGTTTGTAAAAATCAATATCATTTTCTGCATTTCAAACATAAAACAGAACATGGCTCAAAAACAAGCAAAAATAGGATAATTGCACTTATGATTTGCTGTACGGTTCTGTTAAACACACTTCAGTGTGGGTAGTTGGTGCCATCTAAAAAAATAAAAATAAAATACTGCAATCTTTATAAGCACCCCCATTTTGATCATGTTGAACCAAAGTTTGAACAACTTAAGACTTAAAAGAAATGGTCCATATGGTGTAACACCAGGCACAAGGCAGGCAGGACAACAACGCTTCCCTCACCTAATAGATTGGGTTCACAAATATCACTTAGCTCAAAGCACTTTCTGGAGACATTGTGGGTAAAGTTTGGCCACCACACATTCAAAATGGCGACCCAAATCCCAGAGGCGATCGGGGGTCTCATAGACTTTGGTCCAGACTTCTGCCTCGTCGTCATACTGGTAAAGGGAGTTCTTGCGGCTGGTGCGGAACACATGCTCCTCCACCATGACCTGTGTGGCACGAACAAACAGGTGTAGCTTCCCTTGCAGCAGCATGGCCTTGATATACGGGCTTGTGGCTTGTTCAAAGGGCAGATCTCTCTTCCGGCTCCACGTGTTCCTCTCAATGTCGTAGACCTCCACGGTGAAGGTGCGCTGGTGGTTCCTGCAGATGCCAGCAATGTAGTAGATGCAGTTTTTATACAAGGCAGCCAGACCCTGACTTCGAGGGACACTCATCGGGACCAGATGACTCCAATAATCCTTGCGGGGATCATAGCAGAAAAAATATTCACCTACAAAAGAACAAAAAAAAAAAAAACTTTCACTTTTGAACAGATAAGCAGCATAATTAGCATCATTTTAAAAGAATGAACTCACCTTGGATGACGTAGATGCGATCTTTATACTCCACGGCACTATGAAACTCCATAGCAACTGGCATTGGACTGACTGCTGTCCAACAGTTGTCCCTGGCATCATAACACTCAACAGATTTTAATGCATTTCGTCCGTCCCCTTCATAAACTCGACCTCCTAGTGCAAAAAGCTTTCCACAACAGTGAACAAGTCTGCATCCTATTCTTGCTCTGAGCAGCGGTGCACGTGGAAGCCACCGATTGCCCGCGTGCTCGTACTGCCAGAAGTCGCTCTCTGCTCGATGGTCGATGCACACCTCGCTGTTGCTCGGCCGGTACCCACCAGCGATGTAGATGTCATTCTCTGACGACACAAGGATACCGACCTCTCTGAGGTCATTAGGTGGTTTGCAGAGCTTGAACACCCTTCCTGTTGCTGTGTCTAGACAAGGCACCGTCTGCTTTTTACCTGAGTGTTTATGAGCAGCATCAAAGCAGATCACCATCTCAGAAGCAGTCATGCCCAGGCGCTGTGGACAACCGTTTGTGCCAGTGAGGCGAGCTTTGACCTCAGTGGGGTCTTTAGAAAGAGCCATGGCACAAGCAAATGGGGCAGGTATCAGATTGAGAAAGGCCTCATCCAGCAACGGCAGACGGATGCACTGGGAAAACACCTCAACCAGGTTAGTTTCACGGCCCGGTCGATCATGCTCTAGCCAGCGGACAATACTCTCATAGACATGCTCTTCTTTCTCCACATTTAGGTCATCGCTGTTCAAAATGCTGACCAGCTGCTCCTTGGTCATCTGGAGAAACTCCTGCTCTCTTGATACACACAAGAACTACCACAAAACACAAAAGGTTTCAATTTTAAGACAACAACAAAGACATCAACAGTAGGAAAATATCTGTTCAGTACTAGGGTTGCAAGGATTAACCAGTTTGACTATTAACCACGGTGTGAAATGCTGCACTTAACCCACTGTAAAGATGTCTCCAACACTGCAAAAAAATGTTTTTAAGTCTGCAGACCAAAGTGAAAGTGAAACTGAACAGACGCACACAACAGCTTCAACAACCACTGGGACTGCTCCATTTCCACTAAGGAAGCGCTTCAAGTCTCCTGTGAGGGGATATTTTAGACTCCCAAAGCCACTAAGAGAGGGATTCAGAACGACGGCTCGTCCATATGCAGACCTGGCAGAAAAAACGTTGCGACACTCCCAATAGATCATCTCTGAGATCATCAGGCAAATTAGCTCCAACGGAGTCAGATTACGTTAGTGACTGAACGGATTTAACAATAATATAACAACGATGTTTCATATTGTGTTGTTCAACTTTTCACCTCCATCTGTCTACAACAAGCCTGTATGACAAGCCATTCTAATATTTAATCAACTACACCTCTCTGTAATTCCTGTTCTACATAGAAATAATACAATTTATCCTTGTCCAAATAACATTCTTACTGATGAAATTTGAAATGATATGAACAAGTATAAATTACATTTAAGTAATAAGCATTATTCATAACAATTTCACTAGTAGGAATTTAGCTTCACACTTCATTAAGATGTCTCCATCCTTCGGTGCTAACCCTGACCAACTGTCAACAGTAAAACCTTTTTGTCTTTATAGAAACTCAAAAAAGGCTTTTAGGCAAATATAATTAAATGTGTGGCTTACTGAAAAATAATTTGTAATATTATTTCTGATTTTAATAGATCACTGAGTTTTTCATGCAGGCTGAACATGAAAATAGTCTCCTACACCTATCTGCTGCATTAGCTTCAGATACAAAATAGACAGTGAAACACTGGGATTAGAAAATTCTGACAGATCTCTGTCACACTGTCACTTAACATTCGTGGACTGAACAATCTTGACTCACGACGGGGAAGGTTGTAGTTGGTCTAGCATCCAGGAAACAGCAGAAAACGTCTCGGCTATTAGAAGCTAATCATTAGCAACTCCATCACACAGCAGAACTCTTCCAGACTTGTGTTATTTGTGGAGGTAAAACATCAATATTGCAAATCAGTAGTTGAGTAAATTTTCTGATAAAAAATCCCTGAAAAGAAGCAATAGATTTTTCAGGGGTTCAAAACCTTTATAGAATGTAATCATGCCTTTTATCAATAATTTATAGAATGTGTGTGTGTGTGTGTGATTTATATATGTTGATGCAGATGTGAAATCTATTCATGTAAAATAATTGTGGTAATAGTGAAACTCTGATTTTTTTCTCAAAATAAAATCCTACCACCAAAATTTATAATCATTGCAACCCTACTCAGTACCCTGCTTAGGAACAACTGACCTTCTTGCGGATGTAATCCTGCGAGCGCTCCCTCAGTTCCTGATGCCCGTAGGCATCAGCAAACATAAAGACCCCTATGCAGTTCTGAGGGTCAAGCCGGCTGATCATGAACTGGGCACACTGATCCTGCAGAGCAGGAATCTGGAAAATGCTGGCTGCCGTGAACAGGGCCTGGACGTTGGACTCGGAGAGTGTGACCTTGGATGTATAAGCATAGTCTAGGACGAGGTGCATGGATTCAGACTCAACTCCGACAATTCTGACCTCACGCTGACTGCTCTCCGTAAGGCCACTAGTGAACATGGACCTGTTGGTGAATACGACAAAAACCCAAATAAAATAAATGAAATTATTTTATGCTCAGCCTATAAATGATTTCCTTGGAAATGATACGATAAATTATCTGGTATTCAGCAGTCAAAACTAGTCAGCCACTGTGCTCCACGTTTACTAAATTATAAACATTTGTGCAAATCAAGCATTTTTTTACCTAAAGTATGGGCTGATTGCTGCAAGAACGTTTCGGTGACATGAGAAAGTCTTGCCATGATCCACTTCCACAACAATGTCTGTTAGCTGTGCTTCATCATACAAAGCTTTGAGCTGCTGAAGAATGTTGCAGGCATGCACAGCATCGACCCCGTTGAAGTTTGAGGCTGGAGGTGTCCCGTTCTGTACTTGTAACAGCTTCCCTACCTCTGAACAACACACACAAAGAGACCTTATTACAGACATGCACACAAGTGTAAGCAGGTGTGTGACAAAATTAGGTAATATTTGTTCTTGTGATGATACCAAAGAGGAGACAAGATATCAACGGCAAAGCATGACAATCAAAAAAAAAAAAAAACTAAAAACCATTGAGTGAAATTAAAATGAAGATCTGCGAGTAAAGTACAGATAAATGACTAAATATGAAAAGTCATTTCCTTTAAGCATTTTGAGACATTCGATAATAACTGTTATAGTAAGATTTTGAGTTACTTAAGATATAAATCACATTAATTCTATTTCTACCAGAAATAACCAGTGCCTTGTACTACAAGGCATGATTAACATCTTCACCTAACCTGTTACACAGAAGGTTTGTCTTCCAGATTCAAGATAACTTGCAAACAATCAATGTCCATAAAACATGAAAATATAAAAAAGCAACCATGTAACTGTGGGAGTCTCTTTTGTTCCGACCCAGAGCTAAATTAGGCTGTCACTAATGTTTCTGGAGCCTAAAAGTCAAGCTGATCACTCCAACCTTTTTCCAATTGCCATTTCTGGACCAGAAGTTAAAGTTAACTCACCAAACTGCCCATCTATTCATTCATGTTAGCTCCTACATGGATGTTATTAATTATTTTAGGTGTTTATCGTAACATTATTAGACGCTTTAAAATAGTCTTTGAACTAATTAGTTTGTATCTTTGTTAAAATCATCATTAACAATTGCAGATAGCTTTTAGTACAAATGACTTATGTTTAAGAAATAAATTTAACTCTTTAATTATATGATTTTAATGAAACTATGAATACTCTCCAGCTGTATGGCTGACTGGTCCTCTGGTGATTTAACAGTTTAGCAAACACGCACAGTTCAAGAGGTAGAAATCCTGGTTGTTGTTTTTTGAAAGTGTTTCTATAATTAGAAACTGCAGCGTAAATATACATATTTTAACGTTACAGCGTGAGAGTTGCGAGACATCGCAACTTTTTGACTTGTTTATCTGCAACTCTGCTGTTTCGGCTTCTTCTGAAGAACCCTTTATCTTGTGATCGTTTTAAGCAACAGTAACTTCTTGACAGGACAAAGGCTGGGAGTGGATGAATAGAAACTGTCTCGCCAGGTGGTAGCTAACTTGCTATCACCTCGAATGCCCGACGTCTGCTCCAACAGTTTGAGAAGTTAATGGAGCTGAAAACAAACTCGAAGGAGACAGATTTCTTAATTATCCTGCTTTCATTGTTTTCTACCGTCTTTTTCATCAAGAGGCAATACGTCCACGTAGTTTAGTGAACGTACACGCTTAACTTTGAACACAAATCCAAGCAGCAAGCTAATATTAGCATGCATTCTTTGACACAACACATAAGGGCGAAAAGTGTCTTTAATTGCCGCAAACCTACACGGATAAGGAACGAATCAGTGGTTTTTGCGATACCCGTGGCAATAATATGCTGAGGCGAATAAATAGGGCTACTTGTCAAACGTTGGGCTCTCGTTACAAACAAGTGTTTACACAATCAGCTGTGGGGGCCGAAAGTTAGCCACATAGCTAACGTTAGCAACTCAGTCCGGCAAACGACAAAAAAACCAGTTTAGAGTAGTCGTAAAGAGCGTGACTTCCCTTAACGAGCTTAAAGCGTGTCACGACTTTTACCTAAGCCAAAAGGCTGTAGTAAGCGAGCGATTAAACACACAAAGTCTAACTTTGAAACGTGTTACTTTAGTGTGGTTAGAGCAGAAAACAATGAAGACTTTGCTAACCTCCACTGGCAGCCATTCTCTCCAGTCTGTCTCTCGGCAGAAACGTCAGTGAGTTCACATCAGAGCCCCGGAAACAAGGAACAACCAATCAGAAGAGAGCTCTGAGTCTCATAGCCAATCATGTTTCGTGTATCTTTTACAATAGCGGAAAAAAGTTAATTGGACGGATACATTTTTGTATTCGCGGAATAACAGTTCACGCATACAAACTATACGTGTACATTAAGTTATTTTTATGTTTAAATAAATGCTTTAATCTTTCTCAAAATGTCATTATAATTTACATGAAAGCTTTCAAATTGAAAATTTCTCTCTAGAAAATGATGTTCAAAGGCGTCATCAACTGAGATTATTGGAAGAAAACATGTTTAAAACAAAATTGTCCTGAAATGTTTCAGAAAGTGTTTTAAATATTTGAAAAGTGCTGCAAGTAGCCATAATATTCACGTTCAAGTAGGGCTGTGCTTACGACAGAATTGTAACTTCCTTCTAGGACAAACTGTCTTTCTTCCTCTGGTCCCTCTCTTTTGTTATTTTTTATTGAATTTTTGAAAATTATTCTAACTGATTGAATTTCATTAGAATTGAAAGTCATCATTTATGTTTGACAAAAATGATAATGTGAAAAACAACCTGGACCACTTGAAATAATTTACCTTTTACTGGAAATTCCTGAAAGGGAACAGACCTATTGTGATTTTTTACTTTAACAGGCCATTCATGTTGGAAAATTCTCCGAAGTAGGCCAAATAAAACAATTCAGAAAAGAAGAGTGGGGCGAAAGTACGCCACAGTGATGTGAGAGACTCATTAGTGGTTGAAATCGCTGCCAACAATAGTGTGGGGCAAATTACCTTTTCGCAAATGGACGGGTTGGTGTGGATCACCTTTCTGTCTTAAAAAATCAAAATCATCATTTGAAAATTGGGTATTTACTCAAGTTTGAAATTAGTTTGTGGATCTGAAACATTTAGCTGAGTCAGACACACAAGAAACTTGCAAGGGGACAAATACTCACAGCGCTGTAGGTTGTTTCTCTTTCTGTAACTTGGGCCCAAAATCCACAGAATGAGTTTAGGGGTGAGAGTTGATTTCTTTGTCTGCATTGTTCAAGGATAAAAGGTGGATTTTAAAATGCTAATATGTGTTTAAATTAAAAAAGCAAATGAACTACAAAGAAAGAACCAGGAGTTCAGCTGACTTCCATTCAACAACCTATTAAGATAAACTGGATCACTGAGAATTGGATTCACATGATGCTACCAATGAGATCCATCCTAACAACCCACTGTCTGCTACATAAGCGGGAATTAATGGGTTAAATATAACTGCCAATATAAAACGAGGCAATGTCTATTATTATTTAATTTTGTTATTTGGACAAAAATCTTGTTTTTATGAGAACTATAATGGTATGTTGTGTTGTCTAACTAGGCTCCTAGCAAGTTTGATCACAGTTTCAGCTGTCATGTCTCTTGAGAATGATCTATAGCCAAACACTCAATCAAATTAATGTGAACATTTTATTCGTTTCAGTTTAATTTCCAGACTATATCCATTTTAACCACCTCTCACATGTATCCATCTATCTGACCATCCATTTTCCTCTGCTTATCTGGGGTTGGGTTTTGGGGGCAGTAGCCTATAAGCAGAAAGGCCTAGGCCTTCCTCTCCCCAGCCACTCGGGCCAGCTCCTCCGGGGGAATCCAAAGACATTCTCAGGCCAGCTGCGAGACATAGTCCCTCCAATGTGTCCTGGGTCTTTCCTTAGGTCTTCTCCCAGTTGGAAATGCCCAGAAAACCTCATCAGGTAGGCATCCAAGAGGCAATAAGATGCTCGAGTCACCTCAACTGGCTCCTCTTGATGTGGAGGAGCAGCAGATCTACTTGGAGCCCCTCCTGGATGACTGAGCTTCTCACCCTATCTCTAAGGGAGAGCCCAGACACCCTACGGAGAAAGCTCTTTTTGGTCGCTTGTATCTACAAACTCTTTCTTTTGGTCACTACCCATTACTGAATTTTTTAATAATCTGTCAATTCTCCCAGAGCACCGTTTCCTGGCCCACCTGAGGTGGCCGTTGGAGGAGGCTATCCAGAACGCCCTCCGGGACAACCCCGCACCTCCAGAGACCCCCGTGGGTCGTCTCTATGTCCATACATCCTGTTGCAGCGAGAAGCTCTCCTGGGCCCACTTGTCACGCCTGTCTGGCCACACGGGGTTCTCTCGAACTCTGAAGTTCCTCCAGCGAGCACTCTGGTGGCCATGCATGGCGAGGGATGTTAAGGAATACACTAGCGCCTGTGACATCTGCGCCCGCTCCAAGACACCCAGCCAGGCCCCTGTTGGTGACCTCAGACCTCTTCCGGTGCCCAGCCGTCCCTGGTCCCACGTGGGCCTGGATTTTGTCACAGGACTCCCCCCGGTCAACAACCTCAACACTGTCCTCACGGTCACAGACCGGTTTTCTAAAGCTGTCCACTTCATCGCCCTTCCGGGTCTCCCTTCGGCCCGACGCATGGTGGAACTGTTCCTGGAGAACGTGGTGCGCCTCTACGGCTTCCCTGTCGATGTAGTCTCCGACCGGGGTCCCCAGTTTACGGCCCGATTCTGGAAAGCTTTTTGCCACCTAATGGGAGCATCGGTCATCCTATCCTCAGGCTATCACCCGCAGACCAATGGTCAGACAGAGCGGGTTAACCAACAGCTGAGTCGGTACCTCCGGTGCTTTGTCTCTGCCCAACCTCGCAATGGCCTAAATACCTCCTCTGGGCAGAGTTGTCCCACAATCTTCACACCTTCTCAACCAATCATATGTCCCCTTTCAAGGTCTGCTATGGCTACCAGCCCCCGGTCTTCGCCCACCAGGAGTCACTGTACCTGCCGCGCAATCCCTAGTGAGGCGCTGCAAGAAAGCCTGGATCAAAGCACGTGCTTCCATCACCCGAGTTAACACCCGTTACGCTCGCCAACATCTCCGCCGACACCATCCTGGTCCCTCCTATGTTCCTGGGGATAAAGTTTGGGTGTTCACCGCGGGCCTCCGCTTCCATGCCGGATCCAAGAAGCTCACTCCCCAGTTCCTCAGGCCTTACACTATACAGAAGGTCATCAACCCGGTCTCGTACCGGCTGCGGTTGCCGGCGAGTCTCCGCATTCATTCCACCTTCCACACCTCCCAGCTCAAGCCCTATGTGGAATCCTCCCTGCTTCCACCTCCGGCTCCGGTGCCTCCGCCTGCCAGCTTCCTCGACAGTGAGCCCATCTACACCGTCCAACGCGTCCTGAACGCTCGCCGCAGAGGTGGGGGATGGCAATACCTCGTAGACTGGGCGGACTACGGCCCCGAGGAACGCTCCTGTGAACCGGCCCGCTCCATCAACCGATCCATCTTACGAACTATCTGCTCACAGTGAGTGCTCTTACTTACTTCTGGAAAACCCAGCATTTCCGTGTCACTTCATTGACGCTCGAATGCTCGGGGATTCCTTGATTAAACCGTGAGCCAGCGTTTCACCGACGCTATCACTTCCGCGTCTGTGAAACCACGCTCTCTACAAGCTCAACTCCCGTCTCCAGCCGACCAGTCTGACACAATTACAGTTAAGTTATCTAAATCATTAGCAGTTCTCTATAAAGTTAAAGAATTTTTAGATGAAAAAGCTTTCTTTTGTATTGTTCTTTAATTCTGCCTTATTTCATGTATTGTGTGGAAGTGTGGGGAAATACCTACACAACCCACTTAAAGCCATTGTTTATAATTCAGAATAGAGTAATTCGACTTGTAAATAAAGCAGCTTGTAGAGAGCATACACATTTACTTTTTATTCGTTTAAAAGTGTTAAAGCTAACAGAATTGGTTACATTTAGAACTGCACAATTTTTGTATAAAAAGATGAATAAATTGATTCATTTCTTCTTCCTGGCACTCGCAGAGTACAGACGCTTCTCTTTTTGCTCCGTTATCTTTTTTTCCCAAGGCTCTTTGTCCTGTCTGCCCACAGAGCGCTTCTCTGCATTTCTTCTGAAAAACGCTATTTTAACCATGGATTTGATAAATTGGTCATTCAACGCAATTGATAAGATTTTTTCAACAATGAGAACGGCACAGGGGGCTCCCACATGCCCACAGGGGACACACCCGGCGGGGTATATGCTGGATTCCTGGAGGGAATGGAAGAACACATGCCTCTCCCAGCTGTCCATTGAGGATGTCGAAGACGTGTGGATATTCGGCCTGATGATCACTGTATTTCTCCTGATTGGAGTGGGAGTATATCTGTTTTTCTGGAAATTTGGGAAGACGGGAGCATTTAGAGGGTGACCCGCACCCACGGAAAGCACTGTCCGTGTGGAGACTTCACAGACTGGGACGTTACTCAAGGTGAATCGTAAGCTGGACAATGTTCTAGCTGTGATACTGGTATTAGTGCGCAAAATGGATGTCATCTCATAGAGGGTCACCAGACGGTATGGACAAGTTTAAAAACCCAAAATTGGCTTCACTGAAGGACTGGAATGATCAGTTTTAAGACTGAAGGCAGAGAGGAAAATTATCTCAGCCTGACCCAAACAAAGTCTTGCCATCCGAATCTGACGCCCTAGCAGCCTTGAGAGGCTAGCAACAAACCCCCACGAAGGAATGCAGACAGATGCTGTGAAAACCCGACCTACCCCCCCCGCCTTCGGATTGGTGGACTTCAGCCTGGCGAGGTCATCAACCTGCATGAGTCAATGTGCTCTGCGCTTTTCCCAAGATCTCCCCCCCACCTGTGGCTACAGTGGCTGAGCGCTGTAGATGGCTCCCCCCCCCCCCCCCCCCCCCCCCCGCCTTCCTACTGGAGTCTCATGTTATGTTGTGTTGTCTGGAGTCTGTTGCATATCTGTGAGGTGTTTTTTTGCAGAGCAAAGCTGCCCTCCTGGGAGGGTAGCTGTGAAGTGCCTTTTTTCCCTCCTCTCGAATCAATTCCTCATGTTACCCTCTTATCTCTATTAAGGTAGCGCGACTCAGGGTTACGAATGACCACAGTCACCAATTCTTGTCATGTGTCTTGCCCATGTATGTCTGATCTCTGAATTGTGTGTACTGAAACTCTAATTTCC